ACTTAAAGCCAAAAGCATGGGAATTGGTAGACCTGGAAAGTCTACTAGGGAAGGTCTCTCAACATTTACAGAAAGGTGAAGAACTAGAAGCAGGTCTCAGAGAAACATGGACTGAGCTGGTCAAAACTGGTAGGAGAATACAGTCCTGCAATTTTTCTGAATGCATGCAGACTCTCCATTAACAACATGTTCTTTTTTAAAACGAGTGCTTTCTATTTGACTGTTAACTCAAAAATGTTTTTGTATCGGTTCTAGTATTCACATTCAAAATGAATTAAATAAAATGGTCTGCAGATATAATTAGGAGAATCTAGTAAAATGCCAGATTATTCCAAGCAGAGGACTCCAAATTCCAAGAACTGAAATCCCAACATATAAAGAGTAATATTCTGCTTTAGATTTTATTCCCCAAAAGTATTTTGCAGCATGTGGGAGGGCGAATGTAGCTCATCCTTAAAGAAGCTGTCTTTTTCAGGATTGCACAATCATGCACAACTTTAACCTTAAAAACACCATATTAAACAAATTGTTATATAGAATCGACTGTATAATTCAAGACCTTTTATATGCACAGAGATGGAAAGATTCAATGTTACTCACTATTAAAGAATGGTTGGTGAAACGGACAGAACTTGCTAAGATGGATAAATTAAAATAAATTCTTTGATTAAAGTAAACACTATTTACATTTATTAGTGACCAGAATCCTCTTATGGACTTTTTCTATTAAAGAAAAAGAAGGACTTGTGATTTATAACTTTAATAATTAATATAACAATAATATAAAAATATAAGAAGATTATGGAAAGAAGAGTGCTATGATGCAATTTTGCAGAGATTAAAATATAATTGTATTTAAAATTATGTGAAGAATATCAGAAGCCACTTCTTTCTATATTTTTTCTTTCTCCTTCCTCTTCTGATACAATTTTTTCTTGCGTTTTTTACTTTTTCTTTACTTTCTTCCTTTTTTTTAAAGGAAACTTTTAAAGGAAGAACTTTTTTAAAAAAGTTTCAGCAAGAATCATATAAAAAAAGAGAACTCAATATATTTTAAGGCACAAAGTAGGCCAGCAATCAATGCTGGTCCAAATAAGGAAAAAGTGAACAATCTTTGCAAAAGTCTACTGCAATATCTAGATACTGATATTGGATGTATGGCTGCCAAAATTCCATTATTGAGGGAGGGAGATATTTCAGGTTTAATCATTTATTTGGTTATACTTTGACATCATTTAGTAAAGAGGCATTTGCTGAACAAGTGATACACCATAAGTGCTATTCTCAATGTCATGTTAATATTTGCTTATTTAGGTGTCTAATCTCTCTGACATTTCATAACTTCATGTAAATATCCTACTAGAAATTTAAGGGCATGTTTCCAATTTATTTCAGGGGTTGACTTACATAACCATTCCTCCCCATCCAATATAGGGTTTTGCATATGTTTAGTCAGATTCATTCCAACAGTTGTATCCTATCGTCCAGAGCAGGGGTCCCCAAACTTGGCATCTTTAAGACTTGTGGACTTCAACTCCCAGAATTTTCCAGCCAGCATAGTTTGGAGACCTCTAGTCCAGAACATCTCAGAAAACCATGTAATGCCTGCCCCTCAACCTCATTTGATCAATGACTCAAGAAGTCACATAGTGTGTGGGATGGTGACTATGGAAAAGAGGTGGCATAAAATGGGTTTCTGTTTTGCACCACTGGAATTTCTCTTGAATAAAGGTTTCTTTGCTGCAAAGATTTAACATTCAATTCAACCCCATAGGGAAAATACAATCAAACAGATCACACAAAATAGAGCTGCGGAAACATTCATTATCTTGATTGACCCCAGCATAGTCTTCTAGGCAAAACCTTCAACTCAATAACATTTACGGTATATCTAAGCATAGGTACCTAATACTTACATGGAACTTTGCTCCCAATATTCAAACAAAAACTAAGATTAGAAAAACACATGTCTCTAAAATTCTTCTGCCTGCCTGCTTCATAGTGAGATTTCAGGTCTTGGAGGCTAGAAGAAATAAATATTAAGAAGCACGAAGAAGATGTCAAAGTTCTTATCTCAAAGTTTGAGATATCATTCTTTTCAGGAAGAGCTGTTACTGCCCTCTCTCTATATTAAGCTGAAGTTCTAGTTTCAAATGCTTGTCAAACAATAGATGGCATGATGTCAAAGAAAAACTATTTTAAAAATTCTCACCTTACCCTTCCTAGATCCATGTGAGTTTGGCAATGAAAGAAGAAAAAGTTCAAAGAGTCAGGTCATTAAGAACCTTTTGATGAATTCTTTCTCACGAAAGAATAGACACCTGTCTGAAAGCATCATTCGATCACCTGGTCAGAAAGTCAAAAAGCTGCTATCTTCTCAAGTCATTTGATTATAGACTTGCCCATTAGGACAAAAATGTAAAGTGCTTCTTTTTAAATGATAGCAATTGTCCAAATGCTCTGTATGTGCAGGTTAGCATATCATAGGCATGTCTCCTTAATAAAGGTAAAGGTAACGGTTCCCCTCACACATATGTGTTAATTGTTTCCTGGCTCTAGAGGGCGGTGCTCATCTCCGTTACAAAGCCAATGAGCTAGCGCTGTCCAAAGACATCTCCGTGGTCATGTGGCGGGCATGACTAAATGCTGAAGTCTCACAGAACACTGTTACCTCCCCATGAAAGTGGTCCCTATTTTTCTACTTGCATTTTTACATGCTTTCGAACTGCTAGGTTGGCAGAAGCTGGGACAAGTAATGGTAGCTCACTCCGTTACGTGGTGCTAGGGATTCAAACCGCCAAACTGCCGACCTTTTTGATCGACAGACTCAGCGTCTTAGCCATTGAGCCACCGCATCTCTCCTTCATAGGAAACATCTGTAAGAACCCACCTTAAGGCAGAATACAGTATATTTTTCATGGCTGTTCTTATAAATATTAACTGTTAACCTATTATGTCTGCATGAAAAGATGCTCCTACAAAATTCAAATAAATACCTCTAAAACACCTGGATTTAATTACAGTTTGAGATGTTGATGCCCTTTCAGGACAATATTATAACTTTTCATTTTCTTTCCTCCTCTGGTCTCTTTTGTTTACTAAACTACAGGAACCCTTGTGGAAAGCAGTTTTGCTGGCTTCTAAAGTTTATCTCTAGCTACAGGTTAAACATTCCTCTCATCTTCCAGATTATTCACCTATCTCCTCCTTTCCTTTCAGCACATTCTTATTCCATTAGTGTGTATGAAAAAAATATGTAAGAAGAAGCCAAGTGGAGTATCCTCAGGGTGGAGTGTACTCTAAATCAGATAAATCAAAATAACATGGTTTTTTTTTAAATGAGACATCTTAAATTTGATCTCTTTCCCACAATGAAGGCAAATGATCATTGTGTTTTATAAAGTTGTTCAGCTGTGTTAATAGAGATTTCTAGGATTTACAGCCTCAACTAAGACATACAGTATAAAGAATGGTTGATGGAATTGGGTATGTCTAGTTTGATGAAAAGAAGGACTGGGGTGTGTGTGTGACATGATAGCAGTGTTCCAATATCTCAGGGGCTGCCCCAAAGAAGAGGGAGTCAAGCTATTCTCCAAAACACCTGCAGGTAGGACAAGAAGCAACGGGTGGAAATTAATCAAGGAGAGAAGCAACCTAGAACTAAGGAGAAATTTCCTGACAGTGAGAACAATTAATCAGTGGAACAACTTGCCTCCTGAAGTTGTAAATGCTCCAGCACTGGAAGTTTTTAAAAATATGTTGGATAACCATTTGTCTGAAGTGGTGTGGGGCTTCCTGCCTAGCCAGGGAGTTGGACTAGAAGACCACCGAGGTTATTCTATTCTATTCTAACTCACCGAAATAGGTCAGCAAAAGTTACCTTATTTCATGTTTCTTCTTTTTTGGCATCAACAGTTTGAGGTTTCAGATTCATTCATTCATTCACTCACTTACTCATGTATACATACATACATACACTCATTCATTCTGTCTCTCGTTGTGTATCTTTCTGTCTAGCTAGCTTATCTAGCTAGCTAGTTATCAATCTACCTAGCAATCACGTAACTATCACAATCTAGAATAATAATAATAATAATAATAATAATAATAATAATAATAATAATAATAATAAATTCCTGTAACTTACAGGGCACCTATGCTATCCATAAAAGATGAGAAACTCTCATTTTACAACATGTACAGTAATATAAAACATGAAATACATATTAAAAAACCTACTCATCTCCACCAAACTTGCTGATCATGATGATGAAAATGACGATTAATCTGTGCAGTGTCACGATTAGTGATTAAAGGATTGATCTAAGAAGACCCAGATGGTAACGGTATGTGAGAAAGATCTCGAAAAATGGGGCATAAAGATGCTGCCTAGGGAACAATCAGACAGGAGAGGACAGAGTCTGCCGCTGCATAACTGGTGGAAAAAGAGACTCAGAAGGGACAAATTTCTCAGGTAAAGAGGACAGCAAGAGATTTCTACTTTAGATTTGCAAGATTCTGTTCAGGTAGCCTTATAATAAGGAGTACTAGCCCATCTGATCTTGTTTTCTGTCTGGTTTACCAGGGAAGACTGACAGATCATCTAGAGTTGCTCCTGGTTGACTTTGTACAAGAGACTCACTCTTGTTCTCTTTAGTCAGCCCTGGGAAGGTGTGTGTGTGTGTGTGTGAGAGAGAGAGAGAGAGAGAGATAAATTGTAAGAGTTAGCCAGAGCACCTGAAGTAAAGGAAGATATGAATCTAACAAAATTGAGAGGTGACTTTGGTAGTAGCAAGTTCAATATTTGTAAATTTGGGCATTTATTAAGGCTTTCAAATATTTTCAGGCAACTCAGCTTCTGAGCTGGAATAGAGACCAAGAGAAGGAATGTTGAAGAGTATTTCCTTTTTTAGCACAGGGGTGGGTGGACCTTGGAAATTAGTGAGCTTGATTGAAAAGCTACACCCTCTATGCAGCTGAAGCTTACTATATAAGTGAAAAGCAAGCTGCCCAACATTTCCTGATTAGTTCAGAGACTGTGCCCATTCTTGATCTTTTACAGCCAGAAGGCAGAGAACAACCGCAACTACAAAACAGAGAAAACAACATGAGTACTGCAGGCAAAGTAAGTGGACATGTTTGTGTTGATTCCTTCATAGTACAAGTTTTTCATTATGGTTTCACACTATTTTATTTATTGCACTATATCTTGTTAGCTTTTGTGGTCTCTTCAATTGCAATAATATATGTGGTTTATCAACAGAAAATAAACACAGAAAGTATCTGGGTGTACCTAGTTATAACTTTGGTATTAAAACCAAAATAATAGATTGAAATGGAATTCTGGAAAAGAGCTAACTGATCATTAAAAGAAAAATACATGTTTTGCATATTGCAAGAGATAGAAAAGGCTCGCTGAATTGTGACATTTAAATCAAATGCAGTACTACAATAAAACTTTATCTGCAGAAGAATATATCTGATTTTGTTCTAATAAAACCAAACCCTTTCAAGATGAAAGTTCAAAAGTAATAGGCAGTGATCTAGCTAACATTTGCAATGATTTCATTGCAGTGGTCAACTTATCCTAATGGACTTGGGGTTAGAGGAATCCACCTCAGAATGCTAACTTTTGATTCCTGTAATGTGTGTTTTAAAAGTCCAATTAGTATAGAGGTACCAGTTATATACAGCTGCAAAATATTTGTGCGGTATTTTTTCATCGGTGGCTAGGAAGAGATGACTGCATGTTGAGACTTGCTAAATGCATAAACGGAGAAGTTACATATTAAAATAATATCATAGCGCCTTTTGAGAGCCATTTATGTGTAGCACTTAAGGCTAGAAGTCAAGAGACCAGGAGTTCTTGTTCCATCTTAGGCACAAACCATCTAGGTGACCGTGGACCAGACAGCCACTCTCAGCCCTAGAAAGAAAGCAATGGCAAACCATTTCTGAAAACCTTGCCAAGAAAACTGCAGGGACTTGAACCTGTATTCACCAGGAATCAAGGCTGACTTGAAGATAGACACACACACACACACACAAAATACAGGCACAAATAGGTCTTTCAAAGCAGAATGTTTAAACAATTATAAATGCTCAAATGAAAATGAAATCCATAATCATTTTAATTGAACTATACAGTATGAAAGGATAAATACCAACAAAAAGGACTGCATACAATCAAGAATGGATAAATACAAGTTAAATTTAGAAGTGGGCTTCTAATCTACCAAATTGGATGAAAACAGGCAAATCGTTTTTGTTAATGTATCTCAATGGCCATTTTGGCTAGTAATTATAAGGGGGCAGGCATTGTAATTCTGATATCAGTGATTAATGCAATGAAGGAAATCCAAAAGCTTGGTCAAATGTTACAGTGCCATTCCTTTAATGCCTCTGGACATATTTTTTACAGGTAATAAAGTGCAAAGCAGCTATTGCTTGGGAGCTGAATAAACCCCTGAGCATTGAGGAGATTGAAGTAGCACCTCCAAAAGCACATGAAGTCCGCATTAAGGTAAACCAAAATAATAGCACTATGGATTCTAATCCCATTTTTTTAGCTTCACGCCACCCCCCATTTAATATAGATCCAAATGATATTATTACCAATAGGAATAATAAGGATGCCACCAATGAGCAGTACCACACATCATTTTCTAACTGAGCTTGTGATGGTCAGCTTAGATCAACCATGATTTCAACCAAGATAAACAAGTTCTTGAATTCTGTTTTATTTATTTTTTAGTATTTAAAGTTATTCCATTTTTGACATTTTTCTATGTTTGGGATATTTTAATATGGCAACTTTTAAAAAGTGCAAGAAATTGTTTTCCAATCCACTAGGATCGTATTAGGACAATGGTGTTTTTGCTGAAATATAGAAGAGTCAATTAAGAAACTCACTTTATGTGATTGCAATATGAATTGAATTGACATGAATTTGAGAAACTAAAATGTAAACTAAAACTTTGTTATCTATCAGTTTTCCTATTACTTTAATGTTTCCACATAGCCCGCATATGAAAATTTGGGGATTTGGAGGAAGCCTACATTTTAGAATGTGTATCTTTGAAAGAATATAAACCTACCTTGTGGTGGTTTTGTTTAATTGGCTTCTAACTGGGTTTTTCCCCCCAGATGAGTATTTTCAAATATAAAAACAGCGCCAAGCAAAGTTTTATTGGTCATTATAAGATTTTTATTTCAAGATTTATCATCTCTTTTCATATCGTCATTTCCCAGTTCCTTTATTCTATTAAGCACAGTGTCCTTCAAGAAGAAATAAAATATTTGGATTAAACTGCTTTAACAAGCTGTGCTGAAAAACTTCTAGAAAATAACAAGCATCACAATGAGTCATAATATCTCAGCTTTTCAGTATGTGGTATGAGATGCAGACTAAAAATGCAACCAAGGGTATTTCCCCACTGTCTAGAAACTTGATTTCATGGCTTTTTGTTGTTTTTTTTCTAGATTTTGGCCACTGGTGTCTGCCGCTCAGATGAACATGTGATCAGTGGCGCTTTTGCGGTGCCTTTGCCAATGGTGCTGGGCCACGAAGCCGCTGGGGTTGTGGAGAGTGTTGGTGAAGGAGTGACTTGTGTGAAACCGGGTATGAGAAAAATTGGGGCCCAAGAAGGGATGAGTTACACAAGGACACTAAAATCTGGCCCAGACCACACTTGGCATGTTCGCACTGTCTTCTTAGTAGAACACCCTGTTCTGCTATTCTATGTATTCTAATTTTAACATAGTATCCAGAATTATTATATAAATCTGTTTTATGGGACAAAAGAGCTTCATGCTTTCCTTTTAGTCTTTATATCAAATAAGATACATTTGCATTGACTGCATTCCTTTTGTTTGATTTCTATATGATGATAGTTATTGGGGGAGGTGGGATCTGCCACTGGTCCATTAACCACCACAAGTGTGATACTTCTCCATTGAGGCCCCAGGCCAACTGGCAGAGTCAGGCCTTCAGGCCTTTATAGATGGTCAGGAAGTAGATTTCACCCTGGGGACAGGGCAAGATAGAATAGAAATAGATTAACAGAGTTGGAAGGGACCTTGGAACCCCCTGCCTAGGCAGGAAACCCTATACCATTTCAGACAAATGGTTATCCAGGGTGGAGCCATGGCAGAGAAGGCTCTTTTCCTGAACCCAGTCAGCCAGAATTCCTTGACCAACAGGGTTTGCAGCATGCTACCCAGGTGGTCCTCAACTTACAGCCCAAAATTTATGTTGCTAAGTGAGTCAGTGGTTAAGTGGATTTTGCTCCACCTTTCTTGGCAGAGTTGTTAAATGAATCACTGCAGTTGATAAGTTAGTGACCTGGTTGCTAAGTGAATCTGGCTTCCCCACTGACTTTGCTTGTCAGAAGGTCGCAAAAGGGGATCTCGTGACCCCGGCACACTGCAACCATCATAAGTATGAACCAGTTGTCAAGCATCCAAATTTTGATTTTGTGACCACGGGGATGCTGCAATGGTCGTTAAGTATGAAAAAAAGCCATAAATCCCTTTTTTTTCAGTGCCATCATAATTTCAAACGATCACTAATTGAATGGTTTTAAGTCAAGGACTACCTGTACTTACTGAGCCTGAAGTAATGCAAGGACTAACATAACATGAAAGGACTGTATCTGTAATAAATTTAGAAAGTAATCTGGTGCCATAAGGAATGCCACAGCTGTAGGCTAAACTTGGGGGAAAATATACTGGACTGAGACAATGACAAACTATTATGTGCTATTGTCAAGAAAAATTACATGAATGTTTTATGAAGTCATTAGCAATCAAGCTTGATTCAAAGGAGGTATATCTTTGGGATCAATCAATCGAAGGTCCTAACTACAAGACATTTTGTACTTTAAGCAGGATCAGGCTTCCAGGAATGACAGAAACTTTATTTGAATTTAAAAAGCAGTGGATGTGAATATAAGACATGGGATCCACACTTATCCTAGCATTTATTTTAAAATAAATGAGCATTTGATTTATCTCCTAATCCTTGGCATCCATTTCTAACTAGAGGAGATATATTACTGAATGCATAAAATATAGACAATCAAAATCTTATTTTCAAACTATTTGATACATGGATCCCAAATCAACTGAAAACACCACCACCCTTCAGGAGTATTTTGTTTCATTTATATAACTCTGTACTTGCTTGCAGTGGGTTTGAATCATGCTAGCTATAACTATTTGTTTTTGTTTCTAGGAGACAAAGTAATTCCACTTTTTGCTCCACAATGTGGAAAATGCAGAGCTTGTCAGAGTCCCAAAGGCAACTTGTGTACTTCAAATGAGTGAGCTTCAATTTCTTTTTTTTCCTCTTTCTTTATCAAAAACCGTATTTTAATATATTATTTTTATTATTATTATTATTATGATGATTGAAATTACATTAAAGGATCCAGTTCAGAATAACTTTAAATGGAACCAATATTTTGTCTCTGGGTTGGCTCCCGATTAAATTTCTTGGAAAGATTCATCATAATCAGTGGAGCTTTAGTTATTAATTTACATCAGGCTTCAGTGACTTTGATGGGTCTAATCTAACTCTGGATTTAATCTTTGTTACATGGATACGTTTTTCATTTACCTCTAACTCAGAGGTCTCCAAACTTGGCAACTTTAAGACTTGTGGACTTCAACTCCCAGAATTCAGCTGATTGAGGAATTCTGGAAGTTGAAGTCCACAAGGTTTAAAGTTGCCAAGTTTGGGGACCATTGCTCTAACTGAACTTTGAACAAGATATACAGTATATGATAGCTCAATTGCTTTTAGTAGAGATTTAAGGGAGGCCTTGTGACTTTCAAGAGCACATCAACTGTGGCTTCTGAATCAGTCCAGGGCAATCCTCTAATTGTTTTAGAATGTTACCCAAATTGTCTTTCTTTTGTCTCTTATTCAGCACGTTCAACACCAAATATACAAAAGGAAATCAAAGCAATTAACATACTGTATGTGTAAATTAAGTTTTTCAACAACAGCATGTACAACAGGCAAAAGGTTTTAAAAGGGTGTTGCAAGTCTCCCCAAGTCAGAACTCATTTACTAACTTTCGCAATTCTGATCTATTTCATAACATTCCTCTAATTTCACTTAGAGTCATGGAGAATTAATCTCCTGAGGATAGGCTGAAGAGCACCAGCTGGCTAAAATTTTTGAGCTCTGAACTTGGCTTTCCCACTAAAAAGCAACATTCTTCCCACTACTGTTCTGTAGGGCCAGCCACCCTCGACACTGAATAGCACCTCTGCATTTAGTACACAACACTGGGTACCTATCATGAAACCTGGTTGGACAAAAATGGGAGTATCCCTTAATCCCCTTCTCTGATATCTGCCCTCCAGGGTTTCAGGGATGTATTAATCTTAAAGGTGGGGTTCTAATCATATTCCATGAGAACCCAGCAGCTTCAGAAATTTTACTTAGAGGTAAATTAAGAGCCGTAGTGGCACAGTGGTTAGAGTGCAGTACTGCAGGCTATTTCTGCTGACTGTTGGCTGACTGCAATTTGGCAGGTCAAATCTCACCAGGTTGACTCAGCCTTCCGTCCTTCCGAGGTGGGTAAAATGAGAACCCAGATTGTTCAGAGGGGTGTAATATGCTGACTCTGTAAACTGCTTAGAGAGGGCTGTAAACCACTGTGAAGCAGTATATGTCTATATGCTACTGCTATGCTACAGGCAAGTATTTATACCTGAGATTGGGCTTTGGAAACATGGTAGGGATTCTGATGGCAGACTCACCATTTAGCTCCCTAGCAACATTGAGTATCTGAGTTTTTTAAATTCATCTTGTTGGAGATTATTAAAGCTGAGGGACTTTATGCCCTTGAAACAGGGTCACTAGTGGCTCAGGAAATCTTGGTCACAAGGGCCATCATGGGCAGATCCTAACAGAGACCCCTCCTTGTCCTATTAACTAATGCCTTTTGAACATGATAACCCCTCTGGGGTGCCTCTAAGGACTGGGAATTGGGAATACTGTATTGTATTGTTTTCATTCTTTTCTAAATGGAAGTTCATGGAACTCCAAATATTTTTTTGAATAAAAAAGGACAGTTTACTGGCAGATCTTCCTCAGCAAAGGAGAAAGGAGTTTAATTTTTAATTCCCAAAGTTGGCTGGGGAATTCTGGGAGTTGAAGTCCTCCAGGCTTAAAATTGCCAAGGTTGGAGACCCCTGCACTAGACCATAAATTATTTAATCTAGTTTTAGGCTAGTATGTTCAGCAGAGCCACTCATGCTCTCCCTCCCTTGTCAACATGCACTCAGTTAAAACCCCAAATGCCAAGTGCAAAGAACATTTAACACCTGGCAGACTTTGACCTTCAGTCTCAGCAAACTCCCTCTTTTGTCAGCTGTAATTTTTCTCTGTGTTTATGTGATATTTTTTTTACAGCCTTAATTCAGGCAGTGGCTTAATGCCTGATGGCACCAGCCGATTCACATGCAAAGGAAAGAGCATCCACCATTTCATTAGCACCAGCACCTTCACTGAGTACACTGTGGTGCATGAGAACTCAGTGGTCAAAATCGATCCTTCAGCCCCTCTGGAAAAAGTGTGTCTGATTGGCTGTGGGTTTTCAACCGGTTATGGGGCAGCCATACAGACAGCTAAGGTAATGATTCTTGACTCTTGACAAATGTATCTTTTCTTTTATGTATACTGAGAGTATTTACACCAAGACAAATTCCTTGTGTGTCCAATCATACTTGGCCAACAAAGTATTCTATCTATCTAAATCCTAGACTAGAGCATTGATTTCGAGAAGAATTGATTTTATTTAAGTCCAGCTATAATCATGCATGTTTCAGTGGATGACGTCTTTGCGTGCCACTTTTGGGGTTGGATTCAGGGGGCCTTTGTCCTAGAATAGAATAACAGAGTTGGAAGGGACCTTGGAGGTCTTCTAGTCCAATCCCCTGCCTAGGCAAGAAACCCTATACCATTTCAGACAAATGGTTATCCAACATCTTTTTTAAAACTGCCAGTGTTGGAGCATTTACAACTTCTGGAAGCAAGTTGTTCCAGTGATTAATTGTTCTCACTGTTAAGAAATTTCTCCTTAGTTCTAAGTTGTTTCTCTCCTTGTTTAGTTTCCACTCGTTGCTTCTTGTCCTGCCCTCAGGTGCTTTGGAGAATAGCTTGACTCCCTCTTCTTTGGGGCAGCCCCTGAGATATTGGAACACTGCTATTGTATCACCCCCAGTCCTTCTTTTCATTAAACTAGACATACCCAGTTCCAGCAACCATTCTTTATATGTTTTAGCCTCCAGTCCCCTAATCATCTTTGTTGCTCCTCTTCGCATTCTTTCTAGAGTCTCAACACTTTTTTTTAATATTAGGGCGGTCAAAACTGAATGCAATATTCCAAGTCCTGTTCATCACCCAGCATTCTTTGTGCCGTATTAAATTCCCAGGATGAAAATGATGTTAAATTGCTAAGAATCATTGGCATTTGCTATAACGCTTCCATGTAATCCAATGTCAACAGCATCTAGGCCGGTTTGCTAAGATTTTGGCCTCCCAGTTTGTGCTCCCGTTTGAAATCCTCTGATCCAAACATGAAAATCTGGAGATGAAAAATGAGAGGGGACCTTTTTTACACCCACGCTCTGTCAATGAATGGATCCATTATAGCCATGGATTGCTGACAAACATGTCCGTTTGCTAACCAACATAAGAACACAAAACACAGCCTCCTAACAGTAACCCAATCATCCCCTTAATCTTACCTTTTCTTTGCTGTGTTTGCTTTCACTGTGAGCAAAAAAATAAAAAAAAACTACTGTGGCTGGCAGACAGGCTATCCTAAAGCCCAATACAAGGGCACTATGCAGTTTGCCTGCAAGAGAAAGGAGTACAAGTTGTCCTTGACTTATGACCACAATTGGGTCATCTTGCTGTGCAAGATGGTTGTTAAGTGAGTCATGCCCAATTTTACAACCTTTTCTGCCACGTTTGTTAAGTGAATCATGCACGTGAAATGTTAATATCACCTTATAGTGCCTTGGCAAGGACACACTTGGACTATTGCGTCCAGTTTGTGACACCCTGAGATAAAAAAGAAGTTGGGACTCTAGAAAGAGTGCAGAGAGGAGCAACAAAGATTATTAGGAGACTGGAGGTTAAAAGATATGAAGAACGGTTGCTGGAATTGGGTACGTCTAGTTTGGTGAAAAGAAGGACTAGGGGTGACATCGTAGCAATGTTTACTATATCTCAGGGGTTGCCACAAAGAAGAACCAATTTTCCAAAGCACCCGAAGGCAAGGCAAGAAGCAATGGATGGGAAGCAACTCAGAACTAGGCAGAAATTTCTTGACAGTGAGAACAATTAATCAGTGGAACAACTTGCCTACAGAAGTTGTGGGTGCTTCAATACTCGAGGTATTTATGAAGAAACTGGACAACTATTTGTCTGAAACAGTGTAGGGTTTCCTCCTTGAGCAGGGTGTTGGACTAGAAGACCTGCAAGGTCCCTTCCAACTCTATTATTCTGTTATTCTGAATGCAGCTTTCCCCTTTATTTTGCTTATTGGAAGTTGGCTGGAAAGTTTCAAATGGCAATCACATGTTCCCTGGATGCTGCAACCATTTTCAATACTTGCCAGTTACCAAGGGCTTGAATTTTGATCACAAGACTGTGGGAATAAGCGTGAGAACCAGTTCTAAGTTACTTTTTTCAGTGCCATTGTAACTTCAAATGGTCTTTAAATTAATGGTTGTACGTTGAGGTCCACTTGTACCAAGAAACCATAAAGCCAGGATTTAGAGGAATTTTCTCCAAAGGAAAACCATGTTATCTATAGATAATTATCCATGGAAAAAAAACCTGTTGAAAAACCTGTTGAAAGCAAAACAAAAGAAAGGGGAGGTCATATAGAAGAATCCTTTGTTTATGTCAATTTACTCATCAGTGGAACCCAAGAACTGCACCTGTAGCAAAGAATAGCAAAACATACCTCCTGGGCAGCCAAGGCTGAACGCTGCCACTTTAGCTATCCTTAAACTATTTTAGGCAGTTTTTCATTATATGATTGCCAATGCATTTAAAACAATTATCTGTAAAACATTATTATAACTTGTAAGCCACCCTGAGTCACTTTAGAGCAGGGGTGTCGATTTCATTGAAGGCCGCATCAGGGTTGTGTTTTACTTCAGCGGGTCAGGGTGGGTGTGGCCAGCTCAACGTCACTCATGTCGGGAGCGCCTGTGGTGGCCCAAGTGCTCATGCCTGTTTTGGCCTGAGCAAAAAAGGGCTCTCGAGCTCCGTTTCCAGCTGCAACAGCCTCCTATAACTGTCTGCCAATGAAAATGGAGTTTGCAAGGACCGTGTGCAGCCCTCCCGAGCTCTGTTCTGGCTGCAACGGCCTCTTGCAACCCTCTGCCAGCAAAACAGAGCTCACAAACCCAGAGCTCCGTTTTCAGAGCCAGCAAAACCTGAGCTCCATTTTTGTTGGCAGAGGCACTGTTTCCAGGCCAGATCTAAGCACTGCACAGGATGGATCCGGACCATGGGCCTTGAGTTCTACACCCCTGCTTTAGAGGAAGGATGGCAGAGGTGGTATTCAGCAGGTTCAGACCAGTTCTGGAGAACCGGTAGTGGAAATTTTGAGTAGTTCAGAGAACCGGCAAATACCACCTCTGACTGGAGATATTATGGTATCCTTCCCCTGCCATGCCCACCAAGCCACGCCCACAGAACCAGTAGTAAAAAAAAAATGAATCCCACCACTGGAAGATGGGCAATGTAAAAATGTAATAAATAAAAAGTACATTAATAAATTACACGTTGGCAAAAAAATAAAAAAAACATATTAATGGAACTTAGTGAAAGGCTTAGCCTAAAATGCTATGTTTAACAGATTCCTAAAATATTGAGGTATTTTGTGTTATGTATTTTGATATACTGAGACCAGAGACCATGCAAGCTGAACACTATCCTAGATACATTTGAGTTTCATGGATAGTGATATTGAATTTAAATCAGGGGTCTCCAACCTTGATCACTTTAAGACTTGTGGACTTCAATTCCCAAAGCTGGCTGGGGAATTCTGGGAGTTGAAGTCCACAAGTGACCAAGGTTGGAGACCCCTGATTTAAAGCACTTTGGAAACAATTGGCAGATGGGATAGATATGGAATGCCCAAGCTCATGACTAAAATTTCAAAAATATTGTATTATGTATAATAGAAGGCCCATATTAGATAAGCTACAGCTCTGTAGATGTTACATTGAAATATGACATTAACATGAAATCACAGCTTTTTGCTTTTTCATAATACTGTAATGTGAACAAGCCATTTCTATAAAGATCTATCAGTCTAATCAGTAAAACCCTAAGTTAGAATCTCATTCTTCTCCACATCAAGCACGAAGTTCAGAAAAAAAACTACTTATATTCGTTTCTTTAATCAAAGTGGTCAGTTTTGCCATTTTAGCCAACTCCATCAACTTCTTCAACCATTCATCCATCCAGGAATCAAAGGGTCCTTCCAATTTTGCACATACGATAATCTTTGCTGCTGTCTATATAATAACAAAGTTCCAAATTTTTTTCTCTAGTTCTTTTTCCATTAAACCCAAAAGGAAAAGTTCTGCTTTCATTTTTATCTCCGTTTTTCCAAAAATTTGTATTAAAATATAAATCATACTCCAAATTTTTTTTGCTTTTTTTGCTTACTATTTTTTTCCACATCAGGGTAATTTGTCCTGAATAGATCACCTAACTTTTGAAAACCAAATCAAACTGTAGTTTTCTATTATATTTCTATTGTATTTATTTTCCTTTTTTTTTGTTTTTCCTTTTTGTATTTTCAACTAGTATTTTTTCCTACCTAAGTCTTGTTAAGATAATTTTAAAAAACCTGTTCAATGTGTATTGACCTTGTGATTTTCTAGGTAGAGCCTGGTTCTATCTGTGCTGTCTTTGGCTTGGGTGGAGTTGGACTCTCAGTGATCATGGGCTGTAAAGCAGCGGGAGCTTCCCGAATCATTGGAGTTGACATCAACAAGGATAAATTTGCTAAGGCTAAAGAAATGGGAGCCACAGAATGTATCAACCCCTTGGATTTCAAGAAGCCCATCAATGAAGTGCTCTTTGACTTGACTGGAGGTGAAGGAGTAGACTATTCTTTTGAAGTGATTGGACGTACTGAAACCATGGTAGGTGAAAATTGTCATAACAAATCATTCTGATAACACAGAAGCAAAATAGCCTATTGTGTAGTCATATTCGGTGTGAAATGTCTTATGACAGAGATTGGGTGTTGTAATCTAAAGCCTCATCGCTGTAATGCTTTCTGTAAATTGTGGTAGAGCATTCTTTCTAATGTTGCATAGTGATTACAAGATCAAGTAAATGAACTTGGGCCAATCCCAATAAATTATGAAGGGATATTGTAAAGTTAATGTTAGATTGAAGGTTGGCGGGGACGACAATCATATGTATTACCTTGAATTTTCTGAAGGAACACACTATCAAAATTCAGTAAGGTATATCGCTGCATTCCAACTATAGTACACCACAAATAGCAACAATCAATTGTTAGTTCTGGCATCCTATAATTAACATTGTGTATGTGTTCCAGACAGAACCTGGCCAGAGCAACCAGTATGGCACTAGGTGGAATGCATTACAAGTTGAATGATGTGTTGTATAGAAAAAATATCTGTCTCTATCTTGATTCCTCCAAGATTCAATTTCCTAGGATGTTCTCTGGTTGTAATGTTTTGAGAAGGAGTAAAAAGTTTATTGTCCATTTTCTACATGTCATGGATAATTTTATACACCTCAATCATGTCCCTTGTCATTTACCTTCTCTGTGGGCTAAAAGGCCCCAAATATCACAACTCTTCCTCATAAGGAAGCTGCTCCAGCTCTTTCATCATTTTAGTTGGCCTCTTCTGAACTTTCTCTAACTCTACTGTATAGGTAATCCCTGACTTTCGATCACAATTGAGCTCAAAATTTATGTTGCTAAGTGTGACAGATGTTAAGTGAACTTTGTCCCGTGTTATGACCTTTCCTGCCATCATTGTTAAGTGAATCATTGCAATTGTTAAGTTAATAACATGATTGTTAAGTGAATCCTGGCTTCCCCATTGACTTTGCTTATCAGAAGATCACAAATGGGGATAACATGACCCTGGACATTGCAGCAGTCATAAAAGTGAGCATTGCCAATGAATTTTGATCACATAATGATGGGAATGTGGCACCGGTTGTAAGAGTGAAAAATGGTTAAAAGTCACTGTTTTCAGTGCCGTTGTAACTTCAGACATTCACTAAACAAACTGTTGTAAGTCAAAGACTACCTATATCTCTATTGAGTGGTGACAGAATTGCACACAGTATTCCCAATTGGTCACACTATTATATATCTATTTTCAATACTGTTTCTTATTATTCCTGGGAATGCTGTAACAGAATGAGAAGAAAAGGGAGTGGAAATATCTGATGGAGGAGGAATGTATCTAGTCAATAGACTAAGGATGCCTAAGTTGAGACTGTCTTTTAGATTCATGTATCACATTTAGAAACTTTAGCAGCCAGTTCATCCCTGAAAAGATTGCATCAGAAACCCCTAAAAAGAAAGTATTTGATCTTATAGTCTGGGCTCACACAGCTAGCTAAATCTAGGATCAAAACATAATTCCCCTGTTGACATAAAATGCTGGGCCTCCATAAATCAATCATAATGTGATGGAGATTTTGTAATTAATAAAGCAGAAAACATTCTATGCTTTGAATCTGTATATCTATCTACATATTTGTATTTCAAAGAATTCTCTCTTGTGATTTAAGGGTCACAAGGAAGTCAGGTGTCCAAACATTCAGACAAGCATGCAATGTCACAGCAGAAGTATCAAAAAGCAAGCCTTGCATTATGAAACCACAATGCCCATTTTCCTCATTTTGGTGTCCCTGAAATGATGGATGGAAAGTTATGGTTGTCACTTAGCTGCATGCAAAAATTAAGCAATTTCTCCTCAAGGATTTTGAAAAGCTGATATTACATGTTGATTTCATGCATCCAGAAAGTCCCACCAATATATATATTTAATAGTCATTTGGATTCTGCTTGTACTCTGTTTTTAATCATCATTGTGGACTGTGAGAGGTCCTTAGTGTTCTCTGAACTTGCTTGTTTTCCTGCAGACATTTCATTACCCAAAGTAGTGCTAGCACTGATGATATTACCTAGTTTGGGTAGTGAAATGTCTGCAAGAAAACAAGCAACCTCAGAGAGCACCAGGGACCCCTCATGTCAACCCTGAGCTACAAATATTCTTCTTTATTGAAGACTGTTTCAAGATTTTTAAAACAATCCTATAAATGATTTGAATAATTAAAAATAAAGACAAATTCCTTGTGTTCATCTCATCAAAAAGTGAAGATCTGAGATACCCCTCACCATAGAGACGATCCCAGGATTGAACCATTGTTGATGCAAACCTTCTGCCAATCACATAGTTTAGATTGACAACCTCCCCAGTACAGCAGAAGTATTAATAGGAGTTTGAGAGGAAAGGATTTCTCACACCACTAGCATGTCAAGAGTTCTCAGAAGACTGATTCAGCCTGCACCTTCTCTGTAAAAGTGCCTCTCCTGTGGGAAGCATCAACCATGGCATCTTTTAGGTGCACTGTAAAGGGTTGTCCTTATGCTAAGATTCTCCTATCTGAGAATTTGTGCCTGTGGATTTAAACAGATTGAAATGTATCTACTTATCGCTGGACTATGATCAGAGGTGGGATTCAAAAATCGCAGCAACCGGTTCACTACCAGAACTTGTTTCCGGCTTCTGATGGGCCTCCAGAGCCTGGGGGAGGCCGTTTCCGGACTTCCGAAAGGCCTATTTCCCCCCCTCCCAGAGCCTCCACGTGGACCCTGCACTTACCTCCATCAAAAATGGGCCATGTGGAAACTCTTGGGAGGGGAAGGGTGGGCGGGGCCAGCCAGTCAATTCAAGTACTGGTTCAGTAAACCAGACGTAACTTTAACATCCAGTTCGCCCGAACCAGTCTGAACCGTTCGAATCCCACCCCTGACTATGTTTTATATTTTGAATCATTGTTTTAAGCACTGCACGCACAATTCTTTTTCTTCCAATTCAATTGTGTCTGATTCCTGGAGATTGGCTAGATAAGTCCCTGTAGTTTTCTCGACAGGTTTTTCAGAAGTGTTTTGCCATTGCCTGCTTCCAAGGAATGAAAGAGGGTGATTGGCCCAAGATCACCCAGCTGGCTTTGCGCCTAAGACAGGACTAGAACTCACACTCTCCTGGTTTCTAGTATGAAACCTTGACTACTACACCTAATTGGCTCTCACATGCAAAGTGCCACAAACAAAAAGGAAGTAAACTTGAGTGTAATTGCCCACAAGTTATTTCTCTATCCTTTATTTGATATAAAATAAATATACCAAATAAAAAGTGGATGTATAAAAAGTGTATAAAAAGTGGAGGGTGTTGAAGAACAATATATAAAAGTAAAAATAAGAATTAATAGATAAAGTGTGTATCTTTGGTTTGTTTGTTTGCTCTCAGATATCTGCCTTCGCTTCCTGCCATCAGAATTTGGGGACCAGCGTTGTTGTGGGGGTGCCCCCAAGTGCATCTATGATCACTTATAATCCACTGATGCTTTTCACTGGCCGCACCTGGAAAGGATGTGTCTTTGGAGGTAAAAAATGTGAACAACAAATGTAAAAAAAATTATCTTCCATTACGCAATTTATTATATGAGAATATTCCTCCATGATAGAATAGAATAGAATAACAGAGTTGGAAGGGACGTTGGAGGTCTTCCAGTCCAAACCCCTGCCTCGGCAGGAAACCCTACACCATTTCAGACAAATGGTCATCCAACGTCTTTTTTAAAACTTCCAGTGTTGGAGCATTTACAACTTCTGGAGGCAGGTTGTTCCATTGATTAGTTGTTCTAACTGTCAGGAAATTCCTCCTTAGTTCTAGGTTGCTTCTCTCCTTGATTCGTTTCTACCCGTTGCTTCTTGTCCTGCCCTCAGGTGCTTTGGAGAATAGCTTGACTCCCTAAGACATAATTATTTTCATTGTGTATTTGGAGATATTAATGATTTCTGTGGATATATTTCCAGACAATAACACGTAACTCAAATTCAGGGAACTATAGATATTTATTCACTTTGACTTTCGTGTTACTGAATTCCAAACCAATCCTGACCAGATTAGCACATAAAAACTAACACAAAGCAGAAGCAAGATGGAACTGGTCACTCAATACAAAAACATACAAAAGATTGTCAGATATCAAAGCTATTAAAATAATCCATTTCATTACTGATTCAAGTTTTTTAATGGTTTAGTACATGGGCTGAACAAGCAAGGGTTAAACAGACTAGCATTTGCAGACTACATGCAGACCCCAAGGATGATGATTTAGGCTCCCCAAGTCCACAAAGATAATAAATAGTAAAAGTTTTCTAGGGATGTGGTGGCTCAGTGGCTAAGACACTGAGCCTATCAATCAGAAAGGTCGGCAGTTTGGCGGTTCGAATCCCTAGCACCCCATAATGGAGTGAGCTCCCATTACTTGTCCCAGCTTCTGCCAACCTAGAAGTTCGAAAGCATGTAAAAATGCAAGTAGAAAAATAGGGACCATTTTGGTGGGAAGGCAACAGCGTTCCATGCACCTTCAGTGTTTAGTCATACCAGCCACATGACCACGGAGACGTCTTTGGACAGCATTAGCTCTTCAGCTTTGTAAGGGAGATTAGCACTGCCCCCCAGAGCTGGAGACGACTTGCACGTATGTGCAAGGGGAACCTTTACCTTTACCTAAATGTTTTCTACTATTTAGAAACTAGAAATACAAAAAAGAAGCAGCAATTATACAATAACACATTAGGAAGTTAAAACAGCTATTGAATAAATTCCGAGAGGGCTTAATACAATTACAACAAGGTAGGAAGCAGCAGGGGGAGAAACTAGGTTTATGGAGTATTCCACCTACTTCGCATCATCACTCAAGCCACAGTGCACTCCTGGCTGTAAAAAGTGTGATGTCTAACGCCAACCACATTATTGAAATGTAAAGCAAAGCTTTATTCTAATTTTCTCCCTTTGGTTGCTATCTTCCTTTCCAAGGTAGAAGCCTCTTTCCATGACAACAAAAACTACAACCTAGGAAGAAGTAACCTAGCATGGATTCCATTTTGCATTAGTTTATAAATCTGCAGAAAGACTAAACTTTCACCCAACTTTTCAGATTTTTTACTGGGCTTCTTTCAATAATGCATTCTGATCAATCTTTTTTTTTTTCTAGGGTGGAAGAGCAAAGATTCTGTCCCCAAGTTGGTTTCAGATTTCATGAAAAAGAAATTCGTTTTGGATCCATTGATCACTCATACATTACCTTTTGAGAAAATCAATGAAGGGTTTGATCTGCTTCGGTCAGGAAAAAGGTAATGATACTCTTCTGTTTCTTTTTTGCCTTACTTTTGCTATTTATTACTATCAGCCTTTCAAGCTGGACCAGAATAGAAAATCAAAGTCATGAAGGAAAAAAACTGACAGAATCTTGCAAGTCTGAACGTGCTTCCTTCCTTTTATTTTCACGGGACTCAGGAATTCACCTGCCCAAACACATTTATGTGTGTTACATTCGTGGCCTGGACACTGGTTTCCCTTATCTGACAGTTTCCTTGGCAACAGCTCTTCCTCCAGGTCATTCTTTCTGTCATTTACAATTACTCATACTTGCTGTAGGATGGATACTAAAGAACAAGGAGAGAATAACAGAGTTGGAAGGGACCTTGAATCTATACCTATACCATTTCAGACAAATGATTATCCAACCTCTTCTTAAAAACCTCCAGTGTTACAGCATTCCCAACTTCTGGAGACAAGTCATTCTACTGATTAATTGTTCTAACTATCAGGAAATTCCTCCTTAGTTCTAGGTTGCTCCTCTCCTTAATTAGTTTCCATCCATTGCTTCTTTTCCTGCTTTCAGGTGCTTTGGAGAATAGGTTGACTCCCTCTTCTTTTGTGGCAGTCCCTTGGGTATTGAAACACTATCATGTCACCTCTAGCCAGGACTGAATGATCCAATTTGAGTTGGTGACTGGAAGCAGAAGTTTATTCTTCCAAGCTTTCAGGCTTGTGCTGGAGCCCATCTTCCGGGAAATTCTCTCCCTAAAATGTATGCACTGGGCTGTTCTAAATATTGTATTTATATGGTGCCTGGCTGTGCGTGGCATTTCGTTGTTAATTGGGGTGTTGATGGCCTGTTATTCAGTCATTAATTGTTAATTAATTGTTGTTTCCTTGTGGTCCTGCACCCTTGGCTCCGAAATATATGATAAGCTGGTGGTAAATCAGCACTCCTGTTGACTGACAAGGGTCCCTGTTTCCTAGGTTTCGGTCAGATGCCAGGACTGTAATAAATCTTGAGAAAGGTTGATTAAGAATTGTCCCTGAACAGGCAGCATCAGAAGGATACAACCCCAAACAGACAATGGCAGGGGAAGATTCCGGAAGCTGAGAAAAAGAGATAAACGTCTCCTTTCCCCAACCTCTGAATTCCTCACCTTGGTTTGACGATAACTAGCAAGGCGTTTGAGGATCTAGCAAAAGGTTTGAGGGGAAATTAGGAAATTAGAAACCACTAACAGGCCATTACAAACACATAGAATCAGCTTAGCACACAAGCTAAGCACTAAAGCCCTTCAAAACATCCTAAGCAAACCAGCTGGTGGTTTGAGCCATGGTGGTGCAGAGGTGGTATTCAGCAGGTTCTAACCAGTTCTGGAGAACCAGTAGCTGAAATTTTGAGCAGTTCAGAGAACCGGCAAATACCACCTCTCACTGGAGATTTTAAGCATCCTTCCCCTGCCACGCCCACCAAACCACGCCCACAGAACCGGTAGTAAAAGAATTTGAATCCCACCACTGGTTAGAGGGCAGTATTGCAGGCTACTTCTGCTGCCTGCCAGCTGACTGCAATTTGGCAAATCTCACCAGGCTCAAGGTTGACTCAGCCCTCCATCCTTCCGAGGTGGGTAAAATGAGGTCCCAGATTGTTGGGGACAATAGGCTGACTCTGGAAACCTCTTAGAGAGGGCTGTAAAGCACTGTGAAGCTGTATATAAGTCTAAATTCTAGTGCGGACAACTAACTCTCACTTTTGACAGTGAGAGCAAGTTGCTTTGGTAAGTCTCCTGCACTTGCCAGCAGCCACTGCTGTACCAGCCACTCATGCACTTTATGTATTGTCCTTCACCCTGCAAAAGACACTGACCAGCCTGCCCAATTGCTTGGAAGCCACCTGAGATTTGTAATTTCTTGCCAGCTTCCCCACTGACTTTTGTTATTGGAAGCTGGCAAGAAATCGCAAGGAGGTTCTCATTTAATGACCTGAAAATCTTGCTTAATGACACAGTGGCAACTGCAGATATCACTAAATGTTGCAGTCACGTGATGTTTTACTTTATGTTCACATTGCTTAGTAATGGAAATACCTATCCCAATTGCCTGCTAATCTATTGAAAGGAATGTCTTGGCAAAAGAAAGACTTCAGGGTGGCATTAATTAGGGTCTTGCCAGTTTCTGACACCAGGGCAAGTTGCTGGAAGGTGTTTTAAATGTGCTTTTTCAAAAGACAAAGGGACTATGTTTTTTCTCTGAGGAAGAAGAATATGTGTCACTTCTGATCTAAGAAGCTTCTGACTAGATGTTGGGGAAAGGGGTTGAAATGATTAGTTCTGAGGGACAGAACTAATCCTTCCATCCTCTCCACTATCTAGTCAGAAATGATGGCGCTTCTTAGATGAGAAGCGAAACATCTTCATCTTCCTCAGAAAAAGAACATAGTCCAGTTGTCTTTTGGGGATGGGGAAACATCTTTGAGACAACCATGACCTGCATGACTGAGAATTTCCACAGACATTTGCTGGAAGATGCTAATTAACTAATTAAAGTCATAACGCTGAGCTTGTTCATTTGGTTTAGCTCCTTTTAGGGGAAGGAAAAACAATTTGGAAAGAGATAGTTTGTTTCAGCAATCTCTCCCTTTGCAAGAGAGGAAGTTCTGTTGAGGATGGTAAAAGGAAACAATTAGTTAATTAGTCACTGGACACCCCTAAATTCAGGGAAGAGATTTGCACATAGAATCTCAGATTTAATCTTGACATTTCGGGAAGGAAATGATAAGAAACACCAATCCCATGGATAATATCTGTCAAGCAAGGATGAACAAAGCCTAGGTGAATAAATTGTGTAATCTGATAAACGCCAATCTTCTGGGATTACTAAAAACAGAAAATACTTGGCAATATCTGGAGAAATCTCCATGGAACCTAAGGACCTGCCCTTCTCATTCCCAGAATGATTGTATACAGGGGTGAGCTTCAAAAATATTAGCAACGGGTTCTTTGCCTGGTTGCTGGGTGGGTGTGGTGGTCATGGCCTAGTCAGCCTCCTGCACCATGGCAGGGGGGGATGTTTCTGTCCACCCTGGGCTCCGGAGGCTTTCCTTGAGCTTCTGGAAGGGTGAAAATGGCCTCCCCGGGCTCCAGAGGTTCTCTGGAAGCTGGAAACAGGCCCATTTCTGGCCTTCCCAAACTTCCGGGAAACAGGCCCATTTTTCTCCTTCACTGAGCCTCCACATGTGCCCTGAACTTACCTGCATCCAAAATGGGCAGTGTGGGGACTCCTGAGAGGGGCAGGGCAGGGTGGGCCGGGCCAGCCAGGAGTGGGATTTGGGGGTTCTCCGAACTACACAAAATCTTAGCAAGGGGCTCTCCCGAACCCCTGTGAACTCCCAGCAGCCCACCCCTGATTGTATATAGTTACTATTAAATACACCAATGAAACTTCTCTAGAACAGGTTGAATCATCACTGGAGTTTGTGAAATGCTAGCAGTACTCTTTAATGTTAAGAATAAAACTCATATTTATCTTATTTCTCTGTTTCAGCATCCGGTCTGTCTTAATATTTTAAGTCGCTGAGGTGAAGAAAACCAATTACAGAATATTTTCTGAAATTGCTGATGTACCCTGTCTGCAGATTGTATAATAACAACAACATGTGATAGTATTTTGTCCTTCTGCTTTATCTTCATGGCCCAAATGGATGTGGAAGGATCTCATTTTAGGGTGGGGGGAAGTGTTATAAGCACAAAGTTTTAAACATATATTCATGTTTGGCTAACTAGGTTACTGTCTCCCGGTGTAGGAATACTGCCTTCTTATTTTCTAATCATGGATTTCTCTGTCCTCTAAATAAATAAATGCTACAAACATGGTTTGAGATCTTTAACATTTTCTTGTTAAGTAGATGCTTTTTTCAAATAAAGAAATTTTGAATAATATATTGACTTATTCATCTGCTGTTCATCTTGTACTTCAATTAATTAATTATTTTGATCCCCAAAATTGCAAATAAAGAGCCCTGAGATGCTCAAGAGTATATTTTATCTAACAAATTGAAATGCAATGTAGAGAAAAGTAAAGTCTTACACTTAGATTGGGTGAAACCAGGCTTAATAGCAGTAACTATGAGACGGATCTTGGAGTCTTAGTGGACAATCAATTAAATATGAACTAATAGTGTGTGGCAGCAGCCAAAAAAGCCAATGCAATCCTAAGTTGCATTAACACAGGGATCTAATCAAGATCAGGTGTGGTATTAATACCACTCTATAAAGCCTTAGTAAGATCACACCTAGAATACTGCATCCAGTTTTGGTCACCACACTATAAAAAAAGATGTTGAGACTCTAGAAAGAATGCAGAAAAGAGCAACCAAGATGATTAGGGGACTGGAGGCCAAAACATACGATGAACGGTTGCAAAGACTCGGCATGGCTAGTCTAGTGAAGAGAAGGACCAGGGTAGACATGATAGCAGTCTTCCAATATTTAAGGGGCTACCACAGAAAGGAGGGGGTCAAGCTGACAGTGAGAACAATCAACCAATGGAACAGCTTGCCTTTGGAAGTTGTGGGAGTTTCATCACTGGAAGGTTCCAAAAAGAAACTGGACTGCCATTTGTCAGAAATGGTGTATGGTCTCCTGCTGGGGCAGGGGGTTGGACTAGAAGACCTACAAGGTCCCTTCCACCTCTGTTAACCTGTTAATCTGTTCGCTGTAATTGTCTCTAGATAAACTCTGCATGTATACACAAGGATAGATGTGCAAATGTCTTGTATAAATAAGACCAGTACCAGCTAGCTATAGTAGATAACTTTGTGTGAGTTTGATTGGAACAACTGTTGTATGCAAGTTTTTTTTAGTAACTTTAATCTGTTCAGAGCTTGCATAAACTAATTAAGCTACATCTAGAACTCTATGAAGGCTTTATTTGTAAGATTTAAGTATGTTTTCCAAAAATTCATTATAATTGAATTAAGATAAAACTATTTTATAATAGATTTATAAGATGCTGTGGGGCCACTTACAATGTTCACAGAGGAATGGAAGACACACCAGAATTATTAGTTAGGAAAGTTCTCTGATATATATATATATTTCTATCAAAATCTAATAAATTACCCCCCAAAAAAGACCCAAAGCCAACTACACTTGTAGGCTGTCAATTTTGAAATTTCCAAATTGGTATTGGTTATAAGTCTTCTGGATATACAGTATATCAACATAAACTAGGTTGGGGACAAATGAAATTAACTGCTATATAGGTATTCCTCAACTTACAACCATTTGTTTAGTGACTGTTCAAAGTTGCACTAGTCTAGCACTAAAAAAAAGGGACATGATCAGTTTTCACACTTACAACCATTGCAGATTCCTGGAGTCATGTGATCTAAATTCAGGCCCTTGGCAACTGGCATGTATTTATAACAGTTGCATTGTCCTGGAGCCATGCTGATCACCATGTGTAACCTTTCCACTCGGCTTCCGAGAAGCAAAGTCAATGGAGGAAGCCAGATTTGCTTAATGATCACATGAGTCACTTAACAATTGTAGTATTCACTTAACAACTATGGCAACAAAGTTCATAAAATGGAGCAAAGTTCACTTAACAATTGCCCTGCTTAGCAATGGAAATTTTGGGCTCAATTGTGGTCATTAAGTCAAGGACTACTTGTGTTAACTAGTGTGTGTCCTCAGTTCATAGGAGATGATAATGGATGGATGGATGGATTGATCTTCCTAGTAAAACTGAAAAAAAAAATTAAAAGCCCATAAAGGCACAAAGCGAATTAGATATATAACGGTAAGGTAAAGGTTCCCCTCGCACATACATGCTAGTCATTTCCAGTTTTAGGGGGCAGTGCTCATGTCCATTACCAAGCCGAAGAGCCAACGCTGTCCAAAGACGTCTCCGTGGACGTTTCCTTTCTGTTTTTTTATTTTTTTCCCTTTTCCTGTACTTTTTTGCTTTTTCTTTTATTTCTTTTTTCTTCCTTCCTATATATTAGTTTATGGCCAGCATGACTAAACAGAACGCTGTTACCTTCCCACCAAAGTGGTCCCTATTTTTCTACTTGCATTTCTACATTCTTTTGAACTGCTAGGTTGGCAGAAGCTGGGACAAGTAACGGGAGCTCACTCTGTTACATAGTGCTAGGGATTTGAACCGCTGAACTGCCAACCTTTCTGATTGACCAGCTCAGCGTCTTAGCCACTGAGCCACCACGTCCCTATAATCAGATATATATTGATGGCCTATTCTAAGCTGTAAACTCTCTACTTAAGGAGCTCAGTTTTTAAAATTTCCCTAAATGAAATTTAATTTCCTTTGGAATACTGTTTGGAAAGCAAATGCTGCTCCTGAAACGTAGTATCTCCTAGCTTGACCCCTTTTACTTCCTGGAAGTGATGGACTATTAACTGTTTCTCCTCACATGGCCTTACTGTTTGATCTGATTCCTGTTAAAATGTGCAGTCCAGGTGCTGGCAAAGTGTCAAGCCATAAAAGGCATTATAAGTAAAAACTAGTACTTTAGAATCCAGCCAGAAGACTTTAGAAAGCCAATGCAGAGCTTAAAGCACAGCTGTTGCTTTCAAAAGCAGGCACCATTTAGCCCACAGATCATGTCTTCTGGACCAGAATTTCCCTGTGATCTTCAAAGCCATCTCCATTGTAGAGTATATTGCAATAGCCCAACCAAGTAATAACAACAGCATGAGTCATTGTTAGGTTTTCCTGCATTAGGAAAGTATATTGCAATAGCTCAATCAAGTAATAACAACATTCATGAGTAATTGTTGTTAGGTTTTCCTGCACTAAAAAGTCATTTTCTTTCCTTTCTGTTTTTTTATTTTTTTCCCTTTTCCTGTACTTTTTTGCTTTTTCTTTTATTTCTTTTTTCTTCCTTCCTATATATTAGTTTATGTTAGTTTTTACCTTCTTAATTTAATAAAAAAATATGTAAAAAAAAAAAAAACAGTGCTCAGAACTCCCCATGAATCAACCAGGACTTCTTTCAGCTGACTACTGTAAATGGCAGACAGCAAAATCGTTTCTAGGCCACAGTTGCCTATTCTTGACATTATCTTGCTACAATTGTTTTTGCAACAAAAATACAAGCCCGATCATTGCAAGTTACCTGCAGATAGAGAACAAACCCTGGAAGTCAGGGTGAACCAGTAATTCCCATCCATGTGAAATGAGCTTTTGCCCAATTCAGCTGCAAGAGAGAAGTTGAACTGACTTGGAGCTACAGAGCAGTCACAGTTCCAATTCTGGATTAGCACAAATGAGTTCTGTAGAAGGGATATCCATTATGATTTTCTTAAAAGAAATTTTATAGCCAGGCTTTCAACTAGTGTAGCTTTTTCAACACAGCCAGGCTGTGTGGGAATCTCGGGAAGTACATTCCCAGTAGCTGTTGAAATCATCATGAATTCCTAATATCGAGAATTCCTAATAGCTCTTGACCATCAGATTGGAATCAGAGGGGATATTCAGCACGTTCTGACCAATTCTGGAGAACCGGTAGCGGAAATTTTGAGTAGTTCGGAGAACGGGCAAATACCACCTCTGACTGGCCCCACCCCCATCTATTCTCTGCCTCCCGAGTCCCAGCTGATTGGCTGGGTCTTCTTTTGTTGCCCTGCACAGGAGAACAGAGCTGTAAAGCAGGTTAGTGGGTTGGGGAGGGAATAGGATTTTGCAGTAACCTTCCCCAGGAGTGGGGAGGGAATGGAGATTTTACAGTATCCTTCCCCTGCCATGCCCACCAAGCCACACCCACCAAGCCATGCCACGCCCAGCAAGCCACGCCCACAGAACCGGTAGTAAAAATGTTTGAATCCACCGCTGAATAGAATAGAATAGAATAGAATAGAATTCTTTATTGGCCAAGTGTGATTGGACACACAAGGAATCTGTCTTGGTGCAAATGCTGGTTGGAATTATTACTTCCATTCAGTTCTAGCTATGTTCACATGAGTATGTTCTTAGGAATTCCTTCATGCTTCTTCTCCTAAAACATCCTATTTCCCTTCTGAATGCTTTCCCTTTTAGTAACGCTAAGTATGAGGTTCACCAGCAAGAAATCATTGAAGATTCTCATAAGTCACAAATGCTTCTTGGTTGCCTATTAAAAAAGAACTTAGATCAGTATTTACTTTCAAACTGTTGCAGATATTCCTACCCACTCCATGTTACTTGTGAGGCAAGACTACATCTTTGCTTTAAAGAAGTGACATCCCTGATAACTTACACGAAGTGAAAAATATGGTACATTGACAGTGGATCATTTCCAAATAGCATATTATTATCAAAGTCTTCCGAATAGATTCTCCTTTACTTGATGAACAGTGAAGAAAAATGTATAATTATATACCAACTGCACTTGGAATTTAGATAGACCATTCATAAGTAACCTACCAGTAAAGTCAGCTGGCCTGGCTTAATCATCAGTTTTACTCCAGAGTCAATATGTTACACAATGTGGTCAAAAGTCTTCAGTTAATGTTCGTCTAATTTCCAGAAACGTTGAAATATTATCAGGATGACACAACATTTATTCCGCTTCTTGCTCTTTAATCATTATTTCTCAATGGGCTCTCTGTGAAGGCTCAAAAATAGCTGAGCTTCTTTCTATCTATGTCTTCTATTTAAGCCAGAGTGAAAACAAAGGAGATGCTGCAGAAATATGAACAAAGTATTAAAGGTTCTTCCTTTGTTATCTCAGTCATCCAGCAAATCTTTTTTGCTGCGGAATATCAGAGAACAAAAAAACTAATTAAAATTGAAAGTTTTCTGCCACTTTCACAAAATGAGTCAACATGCAGGAAAAAAAACCCATTCCCCATTTAAAGTAAAAATAAAGTCATAGAAGTTAGAGATGATTTTCTAATAGCAAATAGGTGAGGCTTAAAAGCAGGGGACCAGGGT